CAGCGGGGGGAAGTGGGGGGGGGGCTGCTGCGGCGGCGGGGAGGAGAAACTTCGAGGGGTCGAGAGGCCCCTCCCTCTCTTTTCCTGCTTTGGCAACCCGCTGCGAACTTTCCAGCCAATGGGGAGCGCCGGGCGTTCGGATGCTGCTCGGGCGCTTTCGGCCTGTTGCATTTCGGCGGAGGGGGGGGGGGGGGAGAGAGAAGAGCAGCTCGCGAGGGATGACCCAACTGGCCGTTCTCCCCTCCCTCGCCCAAGGACGTCTGAAGGTCACCCTGGCGGCCAGCTGGCTTCTCCCAACAGCTGTCCCGGGGACAAGACCCGCTTCTGTCCTGCGTGGCACAGCTGCCTCTTCGGAACACATGCCACCCCCCCCTTGCATGCCCCGAGCCCTTTGGTCTGGCGTGCGCAGGAGAAAGCACATGGGGGGAACCTGGCCGCCCAGGATGTGCCTCTGGCTGATTCATTTCCACGACTTTGCCTTGCTGAGTCACTCTGAACAGGAAGCAGTTAGCCGCACGTGGGGCTGGTTCCTTTTCTCTGCCCCTCTCCTGTCTCCTCCCTCCATTCCGCCACCCCCAAAAGCAGAGATGCCCCCCCGGGGAGGGCTGCTTAAATCCTGGCTTGGGGGCCCCACCAGGAATGTGACCTTCTTGCTGGTCCCACTCGGAGGCAGAGAGCTGTAACTAGATCACTCCGCGCCTGGGAGAGAGAAGGCTCTAAAGTTAGTGCCTGACCTTTCTGTGGCGGGGTGGGGGGGGTGGAAGCTGAGAAGGGGGGGAGGGAGAGGTTCTTGGATTGCCAAGAAAGGGGAAAAACCAGGCGGCCTGCTCTGGATGCAGCTTGAGAAAAACCCCGGTGCAAATTATAAGCATCACAAAGCAGCTTCCCATTAAGAATTCCATGCTTTGCATGTGAAAGGTCCTGGCTCCAACTTCTGGCGTCTTCTCTCCAGGACAAGGGAAGAGCCCCGCCTGAAACCTCAGGGAGCTGGTGCAGTTTGGGGAGGCAGGGCCAGGTCCACCTCCAGACAGTGCCGCTTCCTGGATTCCTAACTCAGCTCCCACGTGTTGCAGTGATGTGGCCCCCTTGTGTTTGCCGGGGCAGAAGGGGTTAAAGGAGAGAGAGCGATGCAAAGATGCCCTTTGTTTCAAGCACAATGCCTGTGTCATGTGATCCCAAAGACACCTGTTGGGGTTTCTCAAACCTCAGCTCCTGCCACTCTGCTACTCCAGAAAGTGGGGAGAGGCAGTGAAGCCGTTTTTTCTTGGCTCTTTGGTTTTCTGGATGGCTGCCTTTTGTTCCTACTGAATCCGTTTCCTCTCCGTCCCTGGTGGGGAAGCCCTGTTGTCCCTGGCATGTGGAGCAGGCCCCTTTCTTGCTTTTGCTTCCTTTTCCCCATATCCCATGTGACTCGGTGGTGCGAACGAGCCTTACTCCTTTCTAGGGGACCCAGAAAATGGTTGCCCTTTTGGTGGGAGGGTCAAGGGCCGGAAGAGCTGGGATCATGCACCCGCTGCGGCGCTATAAAGAAAGCCTCCAAACTGTATTCAGTGGTGGTGTCAAGTAAACCCAGGCTGTACTGCAAAGGGGTCGAGGATCCTTGCCAAAGAGCACTCTTCCCTAATATGTGCGTTGATGATACTCTATTATTTAAAGGTCTTGAGAGAGAAAAGATTGTGCCAATAAAGGTTTTTTGACTGACTGACTTTAAAAACAAATAAGCTTAAAAAGAATAGCTGGTAAAGGTAAATCAGAGGCAAGTATAGTTCTGCTTTCTTAAGGCTGTTCTAGGTAAATTAAATACCAGTGGAAGCTCGTTTCTTGAATTAAGAAATTAATAAAATGTGGTGCAGCAGGTGATCTACAATATTAGGGTGGGCTTGATAGAAGACAGCGATTGGTAGCATTGGGGTCTACCCCTTGGTCCAGAAAAGGCTTTGCTATAAGAGAACTGTCAAGACCTGGATAGCCCAGGCTAGCCAGATCTTGGAAGCTGAGCAGGGTCAGTCTTGACTAACACGTGGATGGGAGACCTCCAAGGAATACCAGGTCACCGTGTGGAGGCAGGCAATGGCAAAACACCTTTGAAAGCCTCTTGCCTTGAAAACTCTGTGGGGCCACCCTGTGACTTGATGACAAAAAGAGAGAGAGAGAGAGAGAGAATTGCCCCTACCTGGATGAACTTATATTTTTATTCGCTCTAATACTACCTGAGTGCTGTGATTCGACTCAAAAATACAAATTGTTAATCTGGTTATCTCTTGGCTTAGAGGCCTCACTGGGAATGTGACCTTCTGCCGCCTTCTTAGAGCGTTGTCTTTTATTTGGGGTAACTTGTCCATCCGAGAAGTGTCCAGCCGCCTGCAGATTACAACGTGATGGGCCTGTTGTGGTCTGTCCCCTTCTCCCGAGAGCAATTACATTCTTCTGTGGCATTGTACCCTTTGAGCAGACCTTTGTCTCAGACGTGTGGGAAATAAACCAGAAAGGCTTTCTTGTTTGTCTGACCTGAAGGTGGTGACAGCTGTTCTTTTTCTTTCTCTAGATTTGGCCGTATTGGCCGTCTGGTTACAAGGGCTATCATTAACTCAGGAAAAGTCGACATTGTGGCTATCAATGACCCCTTTATTGACCTCAACTACATGGTGAGTGGAGGGAAGGGGAGACAGGACCCTTCCGCTGGGCCTTTGTGCCCCCAGTTTCCCCTTCTGGTGCTTGAACATCCCTGTGAAGCGGGGCAAAATGGACAAGGCCTAGGCTAGCGGTGTAGTGACATCACTTCCTGTCTGCACAGGAAGTTACTTCAGCATGACATTGTTGCATTGCTGGCCTAGGCCTCCCCCTGCCAACCCTAACTTTGCCCCATCTTGTGGGCACCCTTGTATCTCCAAATACTTTCCCTCCCAAGTTCTTTCTATTATAAAGATGAACTACAAGCTAAAAGCAGCATCTGAGGGAGGGGGAAGAGGGGGTAGTTGCCATCAAGGCGCTGGAAAGGCTGCTTGCCAAAGGCTGGGTCTGAGCCAGGCACCTTGTGATCAGACTAGTCCTCTTGACCTTTTGTTGGTGGAACCATGTTCTCCATTAAGTTCCCAGTTGCGTGTTTCAAAAGGCCAGTTCACATCCCCCTTTCCCAGTAACATTTCTCAATGCAGTTATTAATCCATGCATGCCCAGCTGAAAATATTTGGTGAACCAGTGGTACATGGGTGCACCCTGGAGTAGTTTCCACAGCTGAGCAAGGAATAAAATGGGGTAAAACAGAGTGCATTGCCTGTTCACATGGGACTTCATGTAGTTGTACCCGGCAATGTCTTTGGCTTGGGGGTGGGGAGGGAAGTGAAGCAGAGACTCCTGTTCCAAGAGTTCAGCTAACCGGAGTGTGTTTCTCGACCCAGGTCTACATGTTCAAATATGACTCCACTCACGGCCGTTTCAAAGGTGAGGTCAAGGCTGAGAACGGGAAACTTGTGATCAATGGAAAGGCCATCACAATCTTCCAAGAGTAAGCGGCACCCCTCTCCTTCTCCCTTTGACTCCCTTGCTGACGGTGTGAGAAACGAGCTGTGACCCTAAACTGCTTTCTGTTTACTTCTTTTCGGGGGACAGGCGTGACCCTGCCAACATCAAATGGGGCGAGGCTGGCGCAGAGTACGTTGTGGAATCCACCGGGGTTTTCACCACCACAGAGAAGGCCAGCGTAAGTAGCTGGAGTGGGTGGGGGATAGAATGGTTTGCTCATCAAAATGGAAAGCTGTGCGTGTGTGCAAGCGATAGGTGAGGAAGACTCATTCGGGGTGCTTCCTATAACTGGAAGGATACCAGTGCACTGCTTGAACATACAGAACATTGGAGAATCATTATGCTGTAGTGGAACAAAGTTTTGAGTCCCGTGGCACCCATAAGACAAACCAAGTTTAATTCTGGGTGTAAGCTTTCGTGTGTGCACGCACACTTCTTTAGAGTTAGACTGTTGGCCTAGGATCTGGGAGAACCAGGTTCAAATCTTTACTTTTGTCACTGGGCAAGCTTTGTAACCTTGGCCCAGGAGCCACACACACTTGGCCAGTTTGGTGTAGTGGTTAGGAGCGCGGACTCTAATTTGGCTCTTCCGCATGCAGCTGCTGATGTGACCTTGGGTCAGTCACAAGTTCTGTCAGGAGCACTTCTTGAAAGAGCTCTCTCAGCCTCACCTACCTCACAGGCAGTGTTCCCTCTAAGCTGAGTTAGTGTGAGCTAGCTCACAGTTTTTTAGCCTCTGGCTCACATATTTTTGTCTTAGCTCAGGAAGGATGGCTCCAGAGCAAACTAATTTATGCAGCGGCCAAATCGCTCGCTAACAACTTTAATGGCAGTAGCTCACAAAGTAGAATTTTTGCTCACAAGACTCCACAGCTTAGAGGGAACATTGCTCACAGGGTGTCTGTGGTGGGGAGGGGAAGAGAAAGGAGATGTTAAGCCGCTCTGAGACTCCTTCGGGTAGCAAAGACCGGGGTATAAATCCAATCTCTTAGTCCACTTTACAAGGTTGTTGTGAGAATAAAATAGAGAAATGAAAATTATGTACACAGTTCCACCCTGTCCTTCCTCTGAGGTGGCTGAAGATTTAGGCTGATGGAAGTATAAATGAGTGAAATGCAACTCTTTTATTCTTTATTTAATTTTTTTATTTTTCTTTATATAACAATTGCCATTAATCAACAATTGCAAAAAAAGTCACGAAATAAAGATTTAAATAATACTGTTCAAATCGTAGAAACAACTTGCAACAGTGAACTAACAAACATATAAAAACAAAATAACGAAATCGAATCCAATCATGTTACAATAATAACAAGAGGCGACGAAATACGAATTAGTTGCAATTACAGTGACAATTGTTATAATGCGCATTAATAAGTATCATACTATATGCAAGTTAAAGTAGCCAGCTTATCTTCAAGAACTCTTGTTGGGGATGATGACTTTTCAAGTTAGGAGTTGGGCCTATCCATTTAATGGGCTGTACTTGCTTGTGCATCTGTGTTGCAAACCACCGATTTGCACATTCTAAGCATGCATCTCTTTGGGACCAGTGTTGAGTTAGTGTGAGCTAGCTCACAGTTTTTTAGCCTCCAGCTCACAGATTTTTGTCTTGGCTCAGGAAGGATGGCTCCAGAGCAAACTAATTTCTGCAGCAGCCAAATCGCTCCCTCACAACTTCAATGCCCAGTAGCTCACAGGGTAGAATTTTTGCTCACGGGACTCCACGGCTTAGAGGGAACAGTGTTGGGGACCCTGCATCCTAGTGTAATAGAGCAGCTCTTCGTAGCTGTGCCCCACATGGATGTAGTAATACTTAGGAATCATAGCCACATCGGAAGGGGCATTCATTTGGAGTTGATCGGGGCCCATCCAGTTAGCCCTTTTTGTGTGGGGAGGTTAAGCTTTCCAAATGGCACCATACAAACAAACCCAGTGGGAAAATAGTTCCACGCAGAACTGTGGTAGCACAAAGGTGCATTCTTTTGTAATGTTCTCTCTGTTTGTCCCGTCGTTTTTCATATTCTTCCGTCAGCCATGAACATAATGCTGATGCCTTTTGTCCCCTTCCAGGCTCACTTGAAGGGGGGTGCCAAACGTGTTGTCATCTCTGCCCCCTCTGCTGATGCTCCCATGTTCGTGATGGGCGTCAATCACGAGAAATATGACAACTCTCTGAAAATCGTCAGGTGAGCCGGAATAACTGGAATAGCGACAGATCACTGCTATGCCCACTGACCTAAGATTGGCGAGTCACCCCCAAAGGGGGGGGGGATGGGGGCAGGAAGAAGAAACCTCCCCATAACCACTTTTGAACTCGTTCCCTTCTAGCAATGCCTCCTGCACCACCAACTGCCTGGCTCCCTTGGCGAAAGTCATCAACGACAACTATGGCATCGTGGAAGGCCTCATGGTAGGTGAACGGCGCGCTCCTCCTCGTTCGTTTGCTCTCCTGGTTAGCAGGGTGCCGCTTTTGCGAAGATCTGGGTGTAAAACAGGCCGCCTCAAGGAAACAAAGTCCAGTGGCACCTTGCAGACCAGCAACATTTTATTTCTGGGTGAGCTTTGGTGAGTCGCAGCTCCCTTCCCAAGAACATAAGAGACGCCAATGTTGGATCAGGCCAAAGGCCCATCCAGTCCAACACTCTGTGTCACACAGTGGCCAGAAATACCAGTGCCATCAGGAGGTCCACCAGTGGGGCCAGGACATTAGAAGCCCTCCCACTGTTGAAAATAAGAACTCATAAGAAAATAAGAACTCATTGGGTCAGGCCCGCGGTCTGTCTATCCCAGGACCCTGTCTCGCACAGTGGCCAACTGTGGCAGCAGGGCCTAGAGGCCAAGGCCTATCCTTTCCTCAGAAATGTGGAAGGAAATCCCGACTGGGAGTTCTGCCTGATGGGAAGATTACAATGGGGGAAGAGTTGAGGCAGAAGTTTGGGGGATAATGTTCCCTTTAAGTAGAACTCAAACTAGGATTACGGCCCGGGGAACTGAGTTGTGACTCACAAAAACTCACATAGAAACAAACGTTGTTGGTCTCCGAGTCGGACCTTAGTTTTCTTTTGCTCTAACAGACTAGCGATTATACCCTTTGTTAAGTAGCTATGGCTGGGTGGGAATGCTGTTTTCCTATGTAATGGGCTTTGGAGAGCAAATTGGTGAAATACAAATTGGAAAGGGAGGCGGTACCCAGAGCGTGAGGTTCATGAAATGTTTGCTTTGTGCACAAATGACGGCCTTTTGTGGGGGGAGAGCTTAGCTTAGTGTGTAGCCGTATCTCTGTAAGCTTAGAATGGCCTCTTCTCCTTCCCCAGACCACAGTCCACGCCATCACAGCCACACAGAAGACTGTGGACGGTCCCTCCGGAAAGCTGTGGAGAGACGGCCGGGGTGCCTCTCAGAACATCATTCCTGCATCCACAGGCGCAGCGAAGGCTGTTGGCAAGGTTATCCCTGAGCTGAACGGGTGAGTCTTCCCCTTTCTTTGCAAGGGGCTGCCCGACTGAAGTCACAGGTCCAGGGGGGACTGTTGGAAACGGCACGTATATTGCTGCTGACTCTGGGTCTTTATTAACCTGCAGGAAACTGACAGGGATGGCTTTCCGTGTTCCAACTCCAAACGTCTCCGTTGTGGACTTAACATGCCGCCTGGAAAAACCAGTGAGTATCCCTGAGCCTGGCGTGTCTCTCCTTCCTATAATATCAAATTGATTGGCAGAGTCATAGGACAATACGAAAACCAAAATACCAATACCAATAGCCCGCGGAAGGCTCTACTAGGTACTATAGCTATTATGAATGTTGAAAATCATCACTGATGTCTTTGATACGTCACCAGAGGAAATGAATTATTGAGAGACGGTATTTGTCTTACATCTTTGTTCGGATGAAGATCAACGATCGAAACAGCGAGGCATTCCAGAGACCACCGTCGTTTTCTGTTATTCTGTACATTATTGTTCACTTTTTGTATAATTTTGATTCTTTTTTTTTAAAGTACCCATAAGGTACACCTTTATTATTTTTCATATTATACACCAACAAAAAACATACTACATAACAAACATCCATTTACACACATAAAACATACAAAGAAATCAGTGTTTTTATAACTCTTATTACCATACTTAAAGAATTTCTATAAGTTTGCTTAAGTTTCTGTATGCTCTTATCTTTTTACCATAGTTTCTATTTAACTAAAAAAGGTTAATAATACCAAAAATTTCAATACTTTAAGCTATGCATTTATATTGTACCAATCATACAGTTTTTTCCACGTCTTTTGAAATGTTGGGTCTGTATAATTTTGATTCTTAAAGAAATTTATTAAGCGTCACATCATCACAGTTCTTTTTGGTTTTCGTAATGTCTCTCCTTCCTACCAGTGTAGTGTGGAGTGCTTTCCTTGTATTCCTTGTGAATTTTACCACTTGGTGAACTTGCCAGTACAGAAATGTGATGCACAGTGAGATGGATGGATGGTGGAAAGTGATGTCTGGTCACAGGTGACCCCTGGTGGGGTTTTCAAGGCAAGACACGTTCAGAGGTGGTACCTCCGTGCCACGACCCTGGTATTCCTTGGAGGTCCCCCACCCAAATACTCGCCAGGGACGACCCTGCTTAGCTTCCAAGATCTGAGGTGATCAGGGCTTCCTGGGCTATCCAGGTCACACACACACAATATTACAACTATATCAGAATTACTATGGTATGTTTCTGCATGGGGACAGAGAACCCCGATACCTCAAGTGGATAGGGCTGCAGGAATTGTGTGCATTCCGAAGGCAGGTTTACCCTCTACTTTGCATGGAAGAATTCTGATTTGGTGAAAAAGGATTGGCTGCTGGTCTTTTGAGAAGGCTTCAAGCCAGCTCAGGAAGAGGTCTAAGGAGGATGCCTTGCCCATGATTCCACCAAGCCTCTCCTTCCATCTCTGTGTAGGGCACTGATGGCGAACCTTTTAGAGACCGAGTGCCCAAACTGCGACCCAAAACCCACTTATTGATTGCAAAGTGCCAACACGGCAATTTAACCTGAATGCTGAGGTTTTACTTTAGAAAAAACAACTCGTACATTAACTTAAGATGATCCAAACAAAGTAAGGAAAGCAATCCCAAATGCTTTCACTTACTTAAAATTATTTGGCAGAGAATTCGACACTTTAATGATGGTCTGGGCCTGGCTGGGGCAATGGCACGCGTGCCCACAGAGAGGGCTCTGAGTGCCACCTTTGGCACCCGTACCATAGGTTTGCCACCACTGGTGTAGGGCATAGCTGTGATTGTCCCAGTTGGTTACTGTGCATAGGAACTGAACTCTGGTCTTTTCCCTTCTTCTCAGGCCAAGTATGATGACATCAAGAAGGCTGTGAAAACAGCATCCGAAGGCCCAATGAAGGGTATTCTGGGATACACAGAGGACCAGGTAATCTGCAGCCATGGACTCATGGCACGGCCTGTGCCCATTTTGTGCGGCAGCATTGCAGAAGTAGCTTCAAGCTGGCCCATTCCT